TTTTTACATGCTGCTAGTGAGAGAACCTGTTGTTAAAATATTTGAGTGATTTCTTTCAGCAACCCACAATTGCTGACTTTGGTAAATATAGGCCCATATTAGCTCCAGACAAAACCACAGAGGAGCTGTTTGAGTATTTCTTGATTTGTTTTCCTGTTGACATGAATCCCTTCATGACAGTTGAAAAATCAGGATTCAGTTACTTCTTTACAAAGAATTTTCCATCAATGCAGCTTTCTTCAGGATATGTTCCTTTCAGGAAAAATATACTTGAAAAAGTATATCAGAAAGTAAAATCAGCTGTCATTCAAAAACTGGAACAATTAAAATGTTGTTTTATAGGTGGGTGGCAAATATACTAGTACACATTATTTAAGTTTAAGTGTTTGTTACATTAGCAGTGATTGGTCCATCCATGTTGTTACACTGTCAGTAAAACAATCCTTTCAAGACTCTGAAGGCATGGCCAATCATTCAAGATCAGAATTGGCAGACTTTTTCACCAATATTGAGGATGAGCAATTTTATGCCACTCCTGATGGGTCAATAGCAGTGAAGAAGGCAAGTAGAATTATGAAGTTCCAGCAGAAGTGCACGTGCATTGCATTTGCTGCTTATAGCTGATGTCATGTCAAAACTATCTTACCTGAAAGAACTTTTGAAAAAGTGCAGAAGGTTGTTCATGCTCTTGATTATAAGAGGCATTTGTTGCAAGAAACAGTTTAGAACTGAAATGAACATATAGTGCTTATTCAAATTTGAAAACCAAACAAGCAAAAGAGAGAGAAAAGAGGAAAACCTATTGGCCAAATACATGGATGAAATTGAGAGTGTAAATGTAGCTCTGAATCTTGATGTTGATTTTCCATTGGAGGTGGAAGAATCTGTTGAGCAAACTCCTTCTGAATACCAAACAAACTAACCCCAGATCACAAAAAGACATCTCTTATAGCAAGAAATACTTACTCACATAAATCCTGTGTATGCAATACTTCAAAGTGTACTACACCTGAAGATGGAAGTGAACAGTGTCATAAAATAAATCAGGTCTGATAACTTAAGCTTCTCTATCATTAAACTAGAATGCATAACACAACTATTCAAATTTCTAAAAGATTTTCAACAGTTTAAACCTCATGAGCAATCAAGCTGCCATGTTGTCGTACATTAAACTCGTAAGATCAGACATTAAAAATGCTTGTGGTGTGGATCCAGATGATGATGATTATGAGGGCATTAAAGCTCTGAGACAAAATATTCTTCATAGGCTTGACAACCACTTCAAGTAAAACTAGCTTCACTTTTGATGTAAATACAAAGGGCTGTGTTACCAGTTCCCTAGAAGAGAAAATAGACATCATAACTAGGTTTGTTAAGGAAACAGAGAAGCAAATAACCATTCCTCCATCTGTAGAGCATCAGAGTGCAGCTGGGAATTGTACAGTTGCATTAACAACAGCTTATGTTGCAGTTCTGTTAGCTTCTTGTCTGATGCCCTAAGAAGAAAAGGAAAATTATTGGTAAAGTTAACAGCTCTAGGAGTCACATACCAAGGTGATGAAAGAGACACATCTAACATTTGAAGTATAATATTACTTGACTTATACTCCTTCTCCAGAAGAACAAGAAGACAGCTTGCTCTACTGGAAAAAACGTAGAAATTCATCACTTGTAGGTGCTGTTAGGTGAATCTTGTCATGAAATACATTTTATTTGCCAGTTGAGGCCATGTTTTTCAGCACTGGTTTTATGGTTAATAACTGATTATCATCCATGTCTCCAAGAAATTTAAACTGTCTTCTTTTCATTCATGACAGTTATAAACTATTTTTTAAAATGTAAAGTAAAAACTTATTTGAGGGAGCAATTGTAAACTTTGAGTAATTGAGAACTTTAGCCAGTTTAATATTGGGATATTCTAATTTTTTAAAATTACATTCACAGTGAAATAAGAATCTATTGATGTTGCTTGGTATTTGATTATGTTGTTCATCAGTTTCACATCCATGAGTTTTATCTAGTGCAACCTTACAGTACCTGAAAAACCTAATGCTATCTTTACTTATCGAGTCGTACCTATTGCAAGGATAGAAGCATCCCTCTTTTGTACAGGCATGTGTACCTTCACCATGCAATAATCAACCAGTCCTCACTGCTGTCATATCATATGCTATTTTCATAATATTATTTATATTTCTTTGTTAAAACTCCCACTGTCTCTCCATTACTGACTGCTTTCTATTTCTGATAACAGAAATCAACTATCTTGTGGCATATCCTACTCAACAACTGTGGGGTAACAAATAAGTTGAAAAAGGTTGTTGAAAAACATTTGATTCAGTTGGAGTTGTAAAAAATTTAAATAGTTGAATAGGTCAGTGGAAATTTAGTGCAGTCAGTTGGATTTTTTTTTTGTGACTGATTCTGGGGATTAATACCATTGCAATGTTTGTAAAAAGTATACCAAAGGTTTATAATTCTGTTCATATCTTTAGGTTATCAGAAATAGTGTGATAATTGATTAATGTTAAAATATAATATTTTTCTCTTTATAGGACCTCAAGGAAAGAGAGGAAGAATGGGATTAAAGGTCTGGTCTCTTACCGAGTATTGTTTTTATAGCATATGCAATTAAGTCTGCGACATTTTCAATACATAAATATTCCTAGATAGGTAAAAACTGTTAATTTCTTCTTGATAGTTTTGGAAGTTTATCAGCTTTTTCAAGTGTAAGAAATAATAGTTATGGCTTGTAGAAAGATTTTCTTATGTACCATACTATTATGTATTTAGTAAATCATATATTTGGTTAAAAAGCAGAAATGAAATTGATATCTTAAAGTAATTTCCGCCATCTGAAGATGTATAACAAGACATCTGTTTTAGATTCCACAACCTTGAACCAAACATAGTAGTCTTAGAGATGAAACACAATGTCAAACTATGAGAATGGGGTGTGAAACTAACCCTGAGTCTGGAGTATAACAATGAGTGCATCATACATGTCCTGGGTTGAATTTTAAGTAGAAAATGTTGAAGATACTTTGTGTGTGGATTTCTTTGTCTACACAAAACTGTAAAATTATGTGTATATATAATTATGTATTTGTGACTTGATGTAAGCATGAAAATATATCTTGTTAAAGGTTATGTTTTCTTTTTTCTTTAGGGATCCATTGGGCCACCAGGAAGTCCTGGTTTTCCAGTAAGACGTTTTTTTTTAGCATTTTTGAATGTTGAGATAAAATCAAAGCAAAATATTTTTCAAACAGCAGTACTACTAATAATGAAATACAATCACTCTTTTCTAACACTTTAAATATTTTAGATAACCATACTGGTAGGTTGAAATATGAAAAACATACTATCCTCAGAGAATTAGTCTATACTGTTTGGAGTATTTGAGAAGAATTATTTTTAGTAACATAAACCCAAGTACCTATATCTCAAATTCAAACTCATTCAAAGAATTTTACTGAAAATAATTTAGTTAACAAAATATAGAATCTTCAGTTAGACACCTTACCTCCTAGATGATAACTTGAGAAGTTTAAAGTTATTGTAATGCCTGATATTTGATTTTATTTATCAGCTGTATTGGTTCACATTAAAACTATTTGGATAAATAAATAATTAATTGCTAGTTTATAAAGAACATGTGGTGAAAATGAGACAGGTGTCACATTCATAGCATTCTGTGGAAACTGATTCTTAACAGACCTGGGAATTATTAATTGTACAGAGTATAGTTTCATTTACAAATTAAGTATCTATAAATAAGATGCTAAAGGTTATTCTGTTGCAATTTTATCTGCTTTTAAACTGTTGCTTTCTTGGTAACTCCTTTGAACAAAGTGAGATTGTAAAAATTTGTTATTATACATGAATTTTCACATATAAAACAAATTATACTTACAATTTAAAATGCTAAGCAAGGACAAACAACACATCTAAACTTCGCATAACTTCTAACACCATAATATAATTTTGACACAACCTTAAAAGTTCTAATTCAAAAGTATAACCTTGGCACAAGAAGTTAAGAAAAAGAACCAGAAAGAAAAATCTAACTTTGAATATTAATCCTAAAGATTTGTTTCACAGCACAACATTAACAGACTCTCTTATTAATTATAACTCACAACACCTATAACCAAATTTCAAATAATACCTAATATGTTTCCACATTCTTGAGTATGTGCCATATTAGTCTTCACTTCTTTTTCTTTTATACTTTTATTTGCTACCAGACTATGGAATTGAATTCAACACAGGACAGTTAATGGCTACTGACAAAACATCTGGTCAATTTTTGTACGTATATAGCGACACATTAAATTAGATATGGCCATATACTATAGCTATTGTAACACAAACCTCATTACCACCCGGTATTAGTAATTATGTCTCACTGTGAAAATAGTGTTACTCTGTTAACTCTAATAAAGTGTAAGCCGACATTATGATATATATATCTATTACAAGAGAAAGCACAATGAAACAACAGAGGAAAAGGTCCGTAAATGTGAACATAATAATTTATGAAAAATTAAGGAATACCACATGACAAAAGTGGATGTGCAACTTTATAACTTTATTCATAACCAAGAACAGATAATTGGTGCTTTAGGATATTTTATGGAAAGAAATATCATCTGTTAATTTTATTTGTATAACTTTAGAATTTGGCTACATTTTTAAACTAAAAATGTGGCACAACAAGGTATTCATTAAATATGGACATTCCTAATATTTAACTGTAAGACTCAGCTTGAGGGCACAACAAAGTATTCATTAAATTCGGACATTCCTAATATTTAAGTGTAAGACTCAGCTTGAGGGCACAACAAGGTATTCATTAAATATGGACCTTACTATTACTTAACTGTGAGACTCAGCTTGAGGGCACAACAAGGTATTCATTAAATACCGACATTCCTAATACTAAAGTGTAAGACTTAGCTTGAGG